GGCGAACACTGATGGCAGGAAGGCAGGAAGGCCAGGGTGCTGGGCTTAGGAAGCAGGGGCTGCTGTAGGCCCGGCTTTTCCTGCTTACCCCGCGGGGTGCCGAGAGATCCCCTGTCCTTGCTTCCTGGCTTGGTGGGAACAAGTCAGTTGAGGCCAGGCCACCCGTAGAGCCAGGGCCACAGGGAACCGTGTGGCAGCCAGGGGTCTGCTAGGAGCCCCTCTTCCTGTCCTGCAGAGCTGGCCTGGGAGTGGGGGTGGGTTGGGGTGGTTTCAGAGCCAACAGATCTTGGCTTTCAAACATCGCAATTCTGCTCCTTCTGAGCGGTCTCTCCGGCCAGTCCCTTCTCTCTGGGGAGTCAGGTGCTGCATCTGTAAAGTGGGACCCTAAGAGTACCAGCCTCAGAGGGCAGCTGCGAGGAGGAGGAAGAGAATCGATTCATGGAAAGCTCCAGGCGAGCCCTGTTCGAGCACCCACCCTTGCCAGGTGCCAAGGAGGCTCCTGACATGGGCACTGTGACCTTGGGATCCTGGCTGCCTGCCTCCCACCTCAGTGTCTACCTGTTCCTTCCAGATGAGAGGAGAAGTGGCTGACCTCCCACGAAATCGGAGAGGATTCTAGGTCCTTCTAGAGTCCCCCACAAAGGGGGAGTGCCTCCTGGCGAACTGCAGCGGGCAGGAAGGCAGCAGCCCACAGGCTGGGCCTCCGCAGGAGGCCACTCACTCAGGACCAAGGCCTCACTCACTGGGTGTGGCCAGTGCAGACCAGACTGCCCCACAGCCTGGCACATGCCTGAAATAGTCCCTTTCTCCATTTTCCTAACCCTTGAGCTCTGGTCCCACCACTTATCAAACCCCTGTTACGGGGCCAGGGTTTGGGGGGACAGATCTTGGGGGCTAAGGGGGTGGTGCCCCCTGCCCAGCTGGCCCTGGAGGTGCCCAGGCCTGGACAGTGCCCTATGAGAGAGGGTAAAAAGGGGGAGACTTCGAGATGGGGAGAGGGAGGGCTGTGGACCAAGAAGGCGGAGAGGGAGAGAAGGGGGCAGACAGAGATGGAGAAGAGGGAGGTCAGACGGATGGGAGAGAGACCTTGAGTTCCAGG